TCCATCTTGGTACTAGCTGGTTCTGTGTAATTTGTACACTCAAGGTATGGGGTGCCTTCAGCAGAATGGCCTGAACACATAATTATGATGAAAAAAACCAGAAGGAATAAAAAGAATTTGTATCATTTTGGGAGCCTTGAATCCTTGACCAACAACTCATAAAGAGTTATATCATGTCTCGTAGGTTATTTTGTTTAACAGACCATGGATCCTCAAAACATCTTCTTCCAGGTTCATAATGTAGCCTTCTACAACCCTCTTTATCAAAAATAATGTTTTGTTATAAAATATTATATTTCTGTATGCCCTTTATTTTGATCTACCCTCTTTATGTATCTTTAGTGACCTATTTCTCCATCACCCCTCCTTCTTTCCACCATATATCCCTTTCTATACTGCTTCCATTAAGGCATCCATACCTAAAGACCTCTTTCCAAAATTCTGCCTCCAACAGGTGACTCAAGTAGATCACACAAAATTAGAGATCTGAAACTAGGATTTACATTTGGAGCAGAATATTTAGAATTTTCTTTTTTGTCATTCCTGGATCCCCCCAATATAATTATTTCCAGTTCCAGCCATTTACATGGAAATTTCACAACATAATTTATCTTTACAACTGAAGAAAATCCTATTGTATATATGTACAAATTTTCATTGTCCCCTCCCCATCAGTTGATGTGCATTTAGGTTGATTCCTTATCCTAGTTACTGTGAGTAGAATAACAGCAATGACCATGAATAGTGAAGGACGATATTTAGTGGCATATAGAATGCTTAGGGTACATGAGAAGGCATGGTATGTTAATGTTCTCTCTAAGTTAAAAATCACTGTTGCTGTAATGAAACACCATGATCAAAGGAACTTGGGGAAGACAGGACTTATTAATTTTTTTCCTTTTTCTTTTTTAATTGATTTTATTGATCTATACATTTTTTCTCTGCTCCCCTCCCTTCCTCTTCCGTCCCCTTCAACTGTCTCCCATGGTCCACATGCTCCCAATTTACTTAGGAGATCTTGTCTTTTTCTACTTCCCATGTAGATTAAATCCATGTATGTCTCTCGTAGGGTCCTCATTGTTGTCTAGGTTCTCTGGGATTGTGATTTGTGGACTGGTTTTCTTTGCTTTATGTTTAAAAAACCACTTATGAGTGAGTACATATAATAATCATCTTTCTGGGTCTGGGTTACCTCACTCAATTGATACTTTCTAGATCCATCCAATTGCCTGCAAATTACAAAATGTCATTTTTTTTATGCTGTGTAGTACTCCATTGTGTAAATGTACCACATTTTCCTTATCCATTCTTTGGTTGAGGGGCATTTAGGTTTTTCCAGGTTCTTGCTATGACAAACAATGCTACTATGAACAAAGTTGAACACATGTCCTTGTGATATTACTGGGTCTTGAGGAAGGTTGTTCCTTAATTTTCTGAGAAATTGCCATACTGATACTGGCATCTAAAGGGGCTGTACAAGCTTTCACTCCCACCAACAATTAAGAAGTATTTCATTTACCCCACAACATCTCCAGCATAAGATGTTATCAGTGCTTTTGACCTTGGCTATTCTTGCAGGTGTAAGATGGAATCTCAGAGTTGTTTTGATTTGTATTTCTCTGATGACTAAGGATGTTGAACATTTCCTTAAGTGTCTTTCAGCCATTTTAGATTCCTCAGTTGAGAGTTTTCTGTTTAGGTCTGTACTCCATTTTTTATTGAATTGTTTGTTCTTTTGATGTTCAATTTCTTAAATTCTTTGTATATTTTAGAGATCAATCCTCTGTCTGATGTGGGGTTGGTGAAGATCTTTTCCCATTCTGTAGGCTGCTGTTTTTGTCTTGTTGACTGAAAAAATGGATGCATATTTAACAAATGGTGCTGGCATAACTAGATATCAACATGTAGAAAAATGAAAATAGATCTATATCTATAGCCATGCACAAAACTCAAGTTTAAATGGATCAAAGACCTCAACATAAAGCCAGTCACACTGAACCTCATAGAAGAGAAAGTGTCAAGTGCACTTGAATGCATTGGCACAGGAGACCACTTCCTAACTATAATCCCAGTAGCACAGACACTGAGAGAAACAATTAATAAATAGAACCCCCTGAAACTGAAAAGCTTCTGTAAAGCGAAGGACAGAATTTGTTCATCTTATACATCACACTTCAACATCAAAGGAAGTGAACATAGGAACTCAAGCAGGACAGGAACCTGGAGGCAGTAGCTGATGCAAAGGCTACAGAGAAGGGATGCTTATTGGTTTACTCCATAATTGTGGCTTGCCCCAACCTGCTTTGTTACAGAACTCTGGACCACCAACCCAGAGATGGCACTACCCATAATGGGCTGGGCCTTTCCTACTAATCAACAATTAAGAAAATGCCCTACAGGCTTGTGTCCTGCCTGATCTTATGGAGGAATTTTCTTAGGAGAGCCTCCCTTCTCTCTGATGATGCTATCTTGTGTCAAGTTGACATGAAAGTATAACAGTTATATCTCACTTTCTGAGGTATCACCACACTGATTTCTATAGTGGTAATTTCAGTTGGCATTCTCACTAACAACAGTAACTGAGTGTTCTTCTTTCCCCATACATATCTTCATCAGTATTTCTTGTTCTTTGGATTCTTGATGATAGTCATTCTGATTCAGATAAGATGGAATCTCAAAGCAGACTTAATTTTCATCTTCCTGATGGCCACTGATACTGAACCGTTTCAAAATGATAGGAGATATTCATATTTATTCTTTGGTGAATTTGTCTTTTCAAATCTAAGTTCATTCATTAATTGTTTTGCTTCTTAGCCTTCTACTGCATGTATAACAAAAAATTGTGTTGTTTTTGCTTCAGTCAGGTATCTAATCCTGACTTCTTTAAGTTCATCCAGGTGTTTATTCAAGTCCTCTTTGAATTCCTTGACCTCAGGTGCATGCTTTTAATTTTTCTTTGAATCCTATGTCTTGAATTTCATCTAAATTGTATTCACTTGGGATACATACTATAGAATTCAGGATCTTTAGGCGAGACATATTGTTTTTATTTTTCATATTATTTGTAATTTTATAATGTCACCTGAATATCTGGAGTTTTGTTCTCGGTTATCCTCTTTTGGTATAAGTTTTTGACAACCATTTTGGAGTCTCCAAGTGAGTTGCAGACTACATACTTTGGGGGCATCCCAAAGGAACATTGTTTGGCAGAGGGAGTATCTTATCAGGGGCCTGTGAGTACCTGCAGAGAAGACTAAAGTGGGGTATCTAGCTGGATAGAGGGTGTAATCAAGGATAGTGGTTTCTGTCAGGATGGGTGTGACACTTGATTGGCAATTACATATTCTCTCAGGATGTGGAACATTATCTTTTTGTGTTCTTCCAGCTCTAAGATATTTAAGCAGAACTCTGTTATTTGGGGGATAGGTTTTACTTGGTGGGTAAAATGACACATGTGCCTGTATCCTTTAGCATCAGCATCTGTTATGTGACATCTACTCCTGACACTCATCGCTGCATTTTATTATATAGCTTCATTCTTTTTCATGCATAGTTTGAATGCCTCCATTACTGGAATGTCCATATATTTTTGTAGATTAAGGAAAATCCTTTATGATTTAACATTATATAAACATATAATTATTCCTCTGTGCTTTAGTCTGCATCTGAGACACATTAATTATTCCTCTGTGCTTTAGTCTGCATCTGAGACACATTCTTTGCTCAAAGGATACTAAGAAGTAGTCTCTAAACTGAGTTCTAGAGGTCTCCAAAGTAAAGATCTTTTATCTCTCTCTTACTTATCCTCCCTCCCTCCCTCCCTTCCTCCCTCCCTCCCTCCCTCCCTTCCTCCCTCCATCCCTCCCTTCCTCCCTTCCTTGTTTTCTTCCCATCTTGTAGAATTGGTACTCTACAAGTAAGCTGCCATATCTGGAAGATGGTTTCTGTTATACGCTGTATTCCCTGTAGATGTTTCTGTGTCAAATCCCTATATACAGCCAGTTGTCACTTCTTTTTATTTTTCCATTTTTTATGCTTCAAGAGTGTTAGAAGTTCAGTTAATCTCAAATCAGTGTCTAAATTCTGGGTTTAAATTTTTTCAGATCATCAATATAGTTACTTATTGAACATTCCTGGGTTGGAAAAGACAAAGGCCATCATTATCTATCTCTTAGCATAAGCCATTATTTCAAACTCACTAGATCTTTCCACTGACAGAACCCTAAGCAGCAATGTTTTATTTCTTTTCTTTGTGTTTTGTAGTAATAACTTGCTGTACAATATTTGCAAAAATTTAATCCAAATAAATAGCTATTGTTGGGTTTATGATTAATTCATGTATTTGTTTAGTGAGAATTCTCAATTACTCACCAAGTCTCAAGAGAGAGATGGACACTTGTGATGTAGCAGCAGGCAACAGAAAATTTTCTGATGACTTCAAAAGCTTTTCTGATTTCTAGTATCAAATCTGAAATGGAGACAGGGACTCTTTAGACTGTACGTCTGGTTCTTTTCATACTGGTCTTAGACTTGGCATTTCCATCATGACTCTCATTCATGATTTCCATATTTTCCCAGTTGATATCTTTCCCTGCCAGGACTGAGAGCAGCTACAGACCACAATTCTAGCTTCCAAGTTCCTGCACCAGAGAAAAACCAGTCTTAGGATAGAGAGAAAGTTGGGTTCAGAGTTCCATTTCTTTCTGACACAACCTAAGACACTGAGTATCTATATTGTGGCCACCAGCTACTCTCAAGTCAGTATAGGACATGTTTTGTAGATATCCCCAATCAATTACAAGCTGAATTTATCTCCAGAAATATCTGTTTTCATTATTTATTCAGTCTCTACAATCCTCTTTACCCTCTTTGTGAACCAGGACAGTCATTTACCCAGAGCAAAATGGTACTGAGAAAAAGAGAGAATATAGTATATGCTCATATCTTGCTCCTCTTTCCAGGAACACTACTGGAGAGCTCCTAAGAGTGGATGCAAACATCACAGACTGGGGGACTAACATCACAGACTGGGGGACTAACATCACAACAGTGAATGGAAGAAACCACACTGAAATTCCACTTTGTGCCATCATATTCTGTACCATGACTTTTCTTTCCCTCATCATTGCCCTGGTTGGGCTGATTGGAAATGCCATAGTGCTGTGGCTTCTGGGCTTCCACATGCAAAGGAATGGCTTCTCTGTATACATCCTCAACTTGGCTGGAGCTGACTTCCTTTTCCTCTGCTTTCAAATCGTACAGTGCCTTCATATTATCTTGGACACACTCTACTCCAAGACCATTGACATTCCTCTCTTTTCTTTTGTTGTATTAAACGTTGCTTATCTTTGTGGCCTGAGCATGCTCAGTGCCATAAGCATTGAACGAAGTCTGTCTGTCAGGTGCCCCATCTGGTATCGCAGCCAACGCCCAAGGCACACATCAGCTGTCATATGTACCCTGCTTTGGTTTTTGTCACTGCTGCTAAGCATCCTGGAAGGGGAAGAATGTGGCTTCCTATTTGATAGTCTTGGCCATGGTTGGTGTCAGACGTTTGATTTCATTACTGCTGCATGGTTAGTTGTTTTATTTGTGGCTCTTTTAGGGTCCAGTCTGATCTTAATGGTTACCATCTTTTGTGGCACACACAGGATCCCTGTGACCAGCCTGTATGTAACCATTGGGTGCACAGTGTTGGTCTTTCTGCTCTTTGGTTTGCCCTATGGAATCTACCAGTTTCTCTTAGAATGGATCGAAAATTTTAATTATGTTGTGATTTGTGATTTTTATTCAGTGACAATATTTCTGTCATGTGTTAACAGCTGTGCCAATCCTATAATTTATTTCCTCGTTGGCTCCATTAGGCATCATAGGTTCCAGTGCAGGAGTCTCAAGCTACTTCTGCAGAGAGCCATGCAGGACACTTCTGAAGAGGAAGAATGTGAAGAAGGGGTTTCTTCAGAAAGATCTAGAGAAACAAAAACAGTCTGGCAGCGACTGAGATCTGTTTTAATCAGGCAGAAGTAGCTTTGAAAATGGCTTTGTGCTTATTAGTTTGTGACATTTTCATCATATTGTTTAGTTGACAAACCAAGTTTAAATCAATTGAGAAAGTAGTCAATCTTGTGGAAATTGATTGATACTGGACTTATTATACAAATACTGACTGTAGCATTTCTGGAGCTGTCTTACTCAGGGGTTTATCATCTCCTTTTGATGGAACTCCTTGGAAGCTCTCAGGGGCCCAGGAGAGCTGTTGACCACTATTGACAAATGCCTCCTTCATCAAAAGGGAATGTAATAAAGAATTTCATGTATTTGGTCACTGAAGGTGATAGTGGTTAAATTTATGCTATATTTTCCAACAGTTTTTATTTCTGATTTTTGTTTTCTTAAATTTTTAAAAGAAGCTTTTATTTATTTTTTTGTAATGTATATTTTAGGAAACAAAGCACAAGAAGGTAAGAACAAAGTCACCCAGTTGCAAGCATCTCATCTTGATGAGTCCTATATTCAAGTGTGAATACATCTACGTAATTGAGGTTATACAGTATATATCACACCTTCCACCACAATGAAAATACTCACCAACTATTAACCCCATGCTCCATGAGTAATTTTATAACCAAGCATGCACCACACCACCTCAATCTGCCAGACAAAACTGCAATCCTATTTTTCTTCGCAACAAAAATCTTATAGAAGATAAAAATGACAGTGGGCCTCGTACTGGTGAAACAACAATTAAAATCCTGCATTCCCTCAATGTTCAGCTCACAGGGAAACACAAAACAACAGACCACACTAAGTACAGCATTTCTAAGTTTTATACAGATCTATATACTAAAATATGAGGAAGGTGGTATGTTCCTGCTTAATGTATTTCTATGGATTAGTTGGAAGATTCACCTATGGCAAGGTTTCTTAGCATGTCAATTTCAGCACAATATTGCAGAGCTCACCCTGTGAGCCTCCTTCTGCCCTTCCACAGTCAGCCTAGCAACATGAATGAACTCACACTGTCTGGATATGACTCAACAATTCTATATTTAAGTGGAACCTTTTCTGTCATTTCTGCCATGCTCACTAGCTTTTAATCATATGCTCTCCTTTAGGTCAACTATAAGGTTCAGATATTGTGGAATAAACTTTGTGTACAATAAACAAAAGCATCCTTCCTGAAATGCACATATAGATTATTTGGTACAGTTATAACTGTTTTCTAGATGTGGTGGTACTATCAAAGAGCACTTCCCTCTTCTGTCCTCTTCTGTGTATAACTCCAGTTCAGGATGACGCGAGTGACAGTATTACAAAGACAGTATTATGTTCTGCTTTCTCTTCTATCAGGTTCAGTTTGGTCAGATTTATATTGAGGTCTTTAATCCATTTGGGCTTGAGTTTTGTGCATGGGGATAGGTATGGATCTATTTGCATTCATCTACATGTTGATATCCAGTTATACCAGCACCGTTTGTTGATGATGTAGGATTCCCCTCTGTATGAATATCATTGGTGAATAAAGAAACTTCCTTGGCCTGTTGATAAGGCAGAACTTAGGTAGTCAGGGGAAACTGAACTGAATGCTGGAAGAAGGGAAGCAGAGTAAGAGAGAAGCCATGGAGCCTCCACAGGACACAGACGTGTTGAAACTTTTCTGGTAGGACACAACCTCATGGTGATGCACAGATTAATGGAGGTGAGTTAAATTAAGATGTTAAGAGTTACCAAATAAGAAGCCAGAACTAATGGGCCAAGCAGTGATTTAAATAATATGATTTCTGTGTTATTATTTTGGGGCTGAGCAGCCAGGAAACAATGAACAGCCTTCTTCAACAAATTGGTGTACCAACATGGTTAACTAAATCCACTTAAAACCCCGAGAGAGCTTGAAAAGGAATTCTAGACACAAAAATTCACAGTTTAAAAAAACCTCTTGCTGTTTGCTGGTGGCATGGTGCAGCTCTTTTAAGATAGGTTTTCCTGACTCAGTGGTAGCAGAAAAAATAGCTGTGCAGCTTTGAAAGGCAGGCTTTTTGGGCTATGCTGCCAATGTAACCTCTGGTTCTTTCAGGAAAGTGAGCATTTGAATGGGGTTTGTGAGCAATGTGCCATGGCTCACTTGGTGGCAACATGGACTGACTGTGTGCCTAGAGATGGGGCAGTGTGCCTGGCTCTTGGAGGTAGTGAGCAACTCCAGCATGCTGGACTCGGCAGGGCAAGCAGGTAGTGTGGTATTTCCCCTAGCAATGGTGCAGCTTGAGTTTTTAAGATGTGCTTAGCATTTTAAGAAGTGCCCCTGGACAGTAAAGAATTACAGATACACAATAGGAAAAATTCAGACATAAAAACCTCTAAATGGGTCACAGTAATGGATAAATGGTTGTAGGCTTGGGAGAAAAAAATAAAACAAAGTCTTAAAAGAGAAAGAATAGAGACAGTCATGACTCCTTTAGGAGTCAAGGTAATAAAATAAATATTAAAAAGTAATAAAGTAAGAAAAGCCACATATGATGGAATATACAAAAGAGTTTGGACTATTGGTGTAGGAGATCTTTCCGTATTTGTGGTGCTTTCATTGGTTAATAAAGAAACTGCTTTGGGCCTGGTGATAGGGCAGAACTTAGGTAGGTGGGGAGACAGAACTGAATTCTGGGAGGAAGAAAGCAGAGTCAGAGACAGTCACCATGTAGAGAACCACCATGGAGCTGCCAGAATCAGACATGCTGAATCTTTCCTGGTAAGGCACTATCTCATGGTGAAGACAGATTAACAGAAATAGGTTAAATCAAGATGTGACAGTTAGTCAATAAGAGTCTAGATATAATGGGCAAGACAGTGTTTAAGTGAATACAGTTTCTGTGTTTTTATTTTGGGTGTAAGCTAGCAGGGTGGCTGGAACAAAAGGACCCCACTCTCCCTGCAACAGATTATGTCTATTATTGTGTTGTCTTTGAATTTTTTGACTGTGAAGTAGATAAGTACAAAGAGGCATTTAATTGTACAGGCTGCTAAACTAAACCACTGTAAAGGTATCTTGAATTTAAAATTTGAGTCTAAGGATATGTTGCTTTGAAAAAGAGATCCTTCTTTTGTTTCTACAGAGGATGAGAATCTGTGGATTTTCTTCCAGACTAACATATTTTAATGGACCAAAATCCCCTGAAAGGTTGTCTTAAATACCCCTCAGAAATTACTTTATCTAACATACAGCAGGAAGCAGTTTGAAGAAGAACTACGCCCATATTTCCAAATATTCTTTATAAATCTTTATTTACATTTTAAAAGGGATATGCTATAGAGATTTGCATTGTTATGGATCTTGGTCTATTGATACAAATTTAAGGTCAATTTTGCTATATGTATATTTCTGTTCTTGATTAAGGTATTGTGTTTGTCCAGCTCATTTAAAAATGTGATTTTACATTTTTAATAAATTTTGGTTAATAGTTAACCAGCTCTAATAGTCAAGTTTGTAGTCATGTTAGTTAGAATTTTTTAGGTGTACAGAGATGTATTTCAGCAGGATATGGATTCTTCAAATCTTTTAAAGACTACAGAATATGGCATTTAAAGTGTTTTAAGAGTTTAGGACTTTTCATAACAGTGAGACACATCTGCTCCTGGCAACACCAATCTACATCTAGAGGAAGATAGGCATAGAAGAGACTCCTTATGAAGTTGTTTAGACATTTGGGCACAAAACTGCTCTTGCCTCAACTGTTTGATGAACTGGACATGCACGACCCACAGAGAAATGATTGCTGAACTTGGCCAAAGGTGAGACCATTCTTCTGGGTTCCTGCTTTATCAAGGAGTCTGCCAGGCAATCTGCAGGATACAGAAGAAAGTGACTGATAAATGGTCAATGTAGGCAGAAATGTCTTTGAAATTTCCTGCTTTATGGAAAAGTTTTCTGGATACTATGGGCCAGTAGGCTGAAAATGAAATGGTACAGAAGAACTTTGGGTGACTGTCCAGGTTATGAGACATCTCTGTCATTTCTAAAATTTTGGAAGTTGCTTACAGTGCACTTCCTGTTTCCATAGGTAATATCATATCCTTCTGGAGACTTTGATGGAGTTGAAGAACAGATAATAGCAATACTACAGTTTTCCTTAGTTATGGTAAAAGATAACATAGATATAAATATTGTAACTCTAATTCTTGCTTGATAACTGTTTTTTGTAATTTTACTATGTTAAAATTAAAACCGTCCTTCTTTTCTTTTTAAAGTTGTTTTTATTGAGCCCTACATTTTTCTCTGCTCCCCTCTGTTGTAGGAAGTATTACTATTTCTAGGATGTACTGACTTCACAATGAAGCCAGGAGATGTGCTGTGTTGGGGAAGGGGTTTTGCTCTTGCTTCCACAGAAGAAAAAAATTATAACCATCAAAATTAATAAAGATCTGGTTTGAGGAGGAAACACCACTTGGAAAGGAGAAATGGCAGCTTATTCACAAAGATGATAACCGTATAGGTGATAAGGAAAGCATATAGGATGGGGGCAGGGTTCTCTTCTTGTCTTTGCTCATATTAAAAAATTCAAGACACCCTGGCTGTTTGAATACTGACAGATGGGAAATAACTACGCAATAAGGATCATCAAGAAAATCAAATATCATCCACGAGAACAAAATATGTTTATATATATGTATTTATACTTATAGATATATAGAGCTGGTTTTAGAGTTGGACAATGGCTTTGTCCTTTAAATACAAGCATGTTAAAAGAAAAAAATCCAGAGTTTCTATGTCAAGGCAAGAGCTGTTTAATGTGGGAAAGAAAAAAAATTAAACAAATTTACTTTTCTTCATATCTATTTTTGTCTTTAGCATACCTTTCATTAAACATATATGTCTAGGAAGAGGAGATCAGAAGTGGTGAGTGAGTGGCCACCTGGCTAGATAGTCCCAGGGAACAGAGTCTAGGCACTCTCCAATTCCCTAAACTTTCTGGCCATCCAGGGGGGCATATTCCTGGCTACTGGCTTTCTTTATCCTATCCCATCTTGTCCACAAGCAATCCTTTTCATCTTTGAGGATCCTTCAACTCAGGCTGCTTTGGGGCTGAGGGGTCTGGGGAGCCAGTGATGAGTTGTTCTGCTATTGGGGCTTCTTTAT